AGAATGAAGGAGATCATACTTCGATTAAAAGAAAGCATTCCATATGCCATACACATATACTACCGGCTTCATAACTTGAAATAAAATATCATCAGCTAGCAACGGAAATGTCTTAATAAAATCTGAAAAGAAATTCTTGAGTGTGGTTTGTTTTTTATTACTCTTTACTTTTAAGCATAGAGAAAAATGAAGTAAAATCAGCTGCAGAGAATGAGAACAAAATCAAACATACTTATTATTACTTCTTTCGATTGAGAAAATGGTTTACATATTGAATTTTTTCCTCTTCCGCATTTTAATCAAGACGAATGATTTTATTTCTTAAATATAAATACTAAAGACATACTGCTATTGAAATTTCAATAATTGTTTCAGTTTGCACATGTGCCGAGAATATTGTAAGAAGTAATTTATTGTCTGCGACTTATGTGTGAACTTAAATGATATGTTAAACGTTCTAGGAAGTACGCATATTCCGTCTTTTTTCATTCGAAAACCAACAAAAGGTATCGCGAAATTACGAAAAGACATGTGTCGCGATATGTGTTGTACGACAAGCACGCCTTACACGCGTAAGGGTGTGTTTGCCGCCTTTTCATTTCGAATCTTCTATTCATTTTAATTATATATTTTCCTTTGCTTTGTCGCATTTTCCTCTTTGTTCGTCATATTCCTCAAACAAGAAGCAAGAAAGTAAACGAAAGCACTCTCGCTTTCTCAAACCGACCTAATAAGTAAATTCATAAATAAAAAAGTTTTATAGTTGAGGCAATAAGCATGATGTATAGAACATCATTTTTCGTTATACACTCATCGATTCGGAAGAAATTTTCGATTTGATATAAGCTTATCCGTCCAGCTGTCCGCCTTGCATTCTGTTTTCAACCTATAAGTCGCCAACCATACTACTTCCTATATAACGCAATATTTTAAAAAGTCATTAAATAATTATTGCAAGAGAATTGTAGGTGTAAAGTGTTTAATAGTGCGCCCTGGACCACTAGAACGTTTTCACTTGTTCCATTATCAGTAATTCTTCTGTCTGCTAAATATGTTTGGAAAGAGATAAGAGTAAATAAAAAATAAGTAAGAAAATAAAACTCGTTCGAGACCGAATCTTTTATAGTCACCACCGTTTATCCCAAAAAAAGACAAAAGCAATTCTCATGCTCTATACTATGGAGTGGGCGCAGTTATATTCTTCTATTTTCAAAATAAATGTTTTTGTCGTAGAAGTATGTGAGCGTTGTAGGCGTGTCCTTTAAAAAATTTATTTTAATCCCAAATTCTCTTTCAAATTTTTAGGCGATATTTTAAGAGACGCTAACGGGAAAATATTTACCGCAAATACTACAAAGTTGCGCAAGCAACCAGGTGCACGGACGGACAGGCGGACATGGTTAGGAGCTTTTCTCTGGTTTTTGAAGCTTTTCTCTGCGTATTATAAAAGTATTGAAGAAATAATCAAATTTTGATATTGAGAAGGCGTGGTCAAGTTTTTTCATTTTTGTGCACAAATGCTAGAGCATCGCGCTTGTGCATTTATTTGCTATAGTTTATGAGTAATAAGCAAAAAACCTATTTTTCATTACTTTTTAATAACAGAGGTGTTCTCAGTTTACGCGGTGCTGTAGGCGTATCCAATGCCAACCTGCGTGCAAGAACTTCCAATGTTTTTGCCAAAATTGAACTCGATGCGGCCATGAGAATGTTTACAACAGCAAACACTACACAGACGGACAGACGGACAGACGGACATGCTTAAATCGATTTAGAATTTAATGCTGATCAAGAATATATGTACTTCTTGGGATCTCTGTCGCTTCCTTCTGGGCGTTGCAAAGGTTTTGACACAATGATTATGCCATTCATCCTTTGGTGATGAGTGTAATAAAGACTATAAGTGGGATGAACTAACACAAACTGCTATTGCTTTTGTAATTTGAAACATTCTTTCCATGAGTTTTCTATGTTTCCATTTTTACTAAATCTTTTGCAAAACACATAATAAGGTTCTTTTTTTCTACATATGTTTTCTATGCAGATATTATACAAGTATTTCTATGTATATTTTTCAGATAACGATGCACGATAAACGACTATATTGAACTTACTTAAAATTATAGATATAACTGAGCAGAACATCCATTATCTCACTCCTTTACAAACCATTGCGATCACAAGTCAATATTGACTTCACATCCAGTAACACATTGTTAGGCAAAGCACGTATAAGAACATTCCATAAAAATCATTCACATTTCTTCCGCTTCCGCAGGAAATTTTTTTTTTTGCTCTCATAATGAATATTCAATCAATATCCAGAACCGTTTTCGTAAATTACGTTTTTTTTCTAGTAAAGTCATTTAAGATTTCGTCAAAGCAAATTCCGGTCGTTAAAATACCGCTACGTGAAATGACTTCTGAGATTTTATGTTTCTATCCAAGTCTTCCTGCGATTAAATTCGCGGCTTTGAATGGTCGTCTCTTCAGGTTAACGTAAGCTTTGTTTACAATTCTTACGAGATCTATTTAGGAATTATTTACAGGAACTTGTATTTACGATGCTACTTCTGGTCTTGTCCATTGCAGTATATACAATTCACTCTGCTGAGTCGACTGTCTTTGCTTTCGTAAAGACTCTGTTTATACAGCCTTTCACAAGCTAGTTACTAATGCCGAATTTCATTACCATGCTGCCCTCTTCTAACCTGTGAAATGTTCGGCAATTTGTTTTTAATCTTTCCGCCGAGCGCCAGCTGTGTCATCAGGTAAAATATCTTTCGAATTTGGTTTCTTGCAAGTCGGTTGGTTTTCAAGCAGACTCATTTTATCAAATAAGGTACTTTCGTAACATACGAAGGCATTATGGTTATTGTGCCTAATGTCATTTTGGTCCCACACATACGTTTAATATGTTCTCTATGCACATATTTTTTTCCTTTCTATATAATATTATTTTGTCTCTTTGTCTTGTGTTTATAGATTTCTCATTATTAGTATCACCCTCGTAGGCAGAGCTGGCTATATTGTTTTATACTATTTGACATTACCCCTTGTGCATTGATTAAGTCTTTCACTCTTTGTAAATACACTTAAATTACCACAATGTAGGAAATGTATTAACTAAAAATTGACCGGAAGCCGGTGTCGTTATCACATCCGAAAAAATATCAGCTGCTTTGCAATGTAATTGTCAGTCATTCAGCACCGCCGATTATGACACTTCGGTTTAGAGCAAATGTCAAGAGCATTTTCTTTTTCTCACTCATCGAATGGATGGATGCAAGTTTGGCAATGCAAAAGTATCCGCGTAAACTAAACTGAGGAACTAAGACTTTAGACTGAAAGACGAGCGATCTAGCTAGGCATAGGGTAATGCTTAGATGACACTTTATTATTCTCTAGACAGTTCCATTAATGGAAAGTTGGCCGCCGCATGGGTCGTTAGGATTGATGTAATTAAACACCATACCTTAGGCCTCCCTTAGTTGATAAGAGGGAATTGAATACAATAAAAACTAAACCGAAATACAGGCGTTTCGGTAATTTATCGAGTTAAGCTATAAACGAAGAATGGTACTGTTTTGAAGCAATTTTAGATGCACGGATAGCTCAACGAACTAACTAACACACAAAACAATGAGAGACAAAAAACTCCCCACAGCCAAGGTCTTCCAATCTTTAGATTATATGCGCTTTTATTCTGAACGCTCTCAGATTGACTCACTCTTTGTGCTGCATGTTCAAAATGTATTAACATGAAGAAAGAAGAAGCACATGTTTTTAACAAAGAATGAAAACAAATTCAGAGAACAATATTTGCTGTAAAACTTTATAATCAGTGTAATGTTTAACAAAAAAAAAAAAAAAAAAACGAAAAAGTTGGATAAGTTTGATCATTATAATATGTTAGTTGCAGCCGAGACATAGCGACCTAATAGCGACGCTACCACATTGATGGGAGAATGTGATATAAATGTGCAGCTATTTGTTTACGCGAATGGCAGGCATTGGTACGCCTGTATATAAAACGATGTTACTACACTACTACACTACTATTTCGACAATACTGTACCCGTTAGTTTTTGAGTTCGTTTTAATATGACCAATGCTAGAAAAAATTGAAATGGAAGAGAAAGAAATAGGGTGTTCTTTGGTCGTAGCTGCAACGAGCGCTCAGTCGGCAAGGGCATAATATTCGATGAGTCACTAGACTACGACCATTGTCACCCTACGAAATTTGAGATTTGAACACGCAAACACTGATTTGGTAGTCGCGGTTCTTACCTATTCGGTTACTCAGGTATACAATGGCTAGCATTAGTTAGTTTTTAGAGTATGACACCAATGTATGAATTGAGAGACGTCCAGCATCCATATGATGGCTTAACATATGTATGTCATAATTTATCTAATTTAACGTTTATTCATATGGTTATACTCTACCACTTGTGGTACAAGGATGTATTAGGTCACTCGAAGAATTCTCCCCGGTTGCAAGCATCTTTTTGTGGCCTGCTCTTTTCAAATGATTCCAAACTGTCATGTGGTTGATGTTTAGAAATAAATTTGAAGACTTAAGTCTTGAAGCACTAGCATCTAAAGTTCTCGGCTTCATTGAAAGCTCTAGCTCACTTGAGAGTTGCCCCAAAGACCATTGAATTGCTCGGCCGAATCTTGTACCAACTCGGCTATGCAGGCGGAATTTTTTACTTCTGTACATCGAAATTATTCTTGGTATTTGTATTTCTTAATATGTTGGATGAGTTTGCACTAGTTTTGCCAGGATTGATAAGGATGAAGTTAGGATTGTACGAAGATAAGCGCACGATGGGATGACATCTTGCAGAGGACGGGCAATGAACGGACATCGGACAAGACCTGAACTATCAAACACATTTTCTTTGAATCCTTTTGTTTTTGTTAATTTTATTTAATTTAACTCTGACGGTACAATGTTTTTCTTTTTACTTTTCTTTAACAGTAAACTGTTTACAATCTTCACTACGTGCCAGTTTGCAATAAATAAAGGAAAGAAATACATAATGGCGTTTATTATCTAACTGGAACGCATAACCATAATCCTTAGTTATGGTCACAATTTAACTTAGTAATTCTGTAAGTAACATATCGACTTTATCAATTCTTATATAACATAATTCATGGAGAGATTAATTTTTTCGATGCAACGTAATTCTAGGATTATAGTTTCGAGTTCGTTGACTCTTATATAATTGATATAAGGATTATTTTTTCGATGCATTCATTGCAAATTCTACTTAAAATTGCTTTCTCTGTCTCACCTTTCTGTACAGCATAATTTTCACAGTGAATCTCTAAAGCAAAACAACTTTTACGTGAAAAAACCTTTTTTGTTATTTCTTCATTAGCCATCGGTCTGAACAATTACTACTAGTAGCACAAGCATTGTGATTACTTCAGCTTTATGATTGTTTTTTGACTTTTCACAAACGGAAATCAAAGTCAAATAGTTTAAGGGTGAGGATGAGCGATATATACATTTTCTCGAAACACTTGCAACGTACAGAAGAAAAGTTCTGAGACCCAATAAAGTATACATGTCCTGTTATAATGATTCTCCTAGCCGCAAAAGTGAAGCTCTCGACATCAAATTTGGCATAATGTTGGAAGCTCTTGTATGCAGGTGGGTTAGTGAAAACGGTCGCAATACTCGGCTACAGTGCAAAGTGAACTGCTTTCCAAAGTGGGGAAAAATTGGTTTTCTGCTTATTGTTCACAAACTATAGCAGATAAGCCCGGAAAACCTTAAATGTATATTCGAAAGGCTATGTTGTAGTATCTGTACCCAGTATCATAATATATATAAAAATTTCATTGTTTTCGCAAAGCTTTTATAACGCCCAGAAGTGAGTCTCAAAGAGGTCAAATATATACACATTCTTGGCCAATGTCCAATTCGTAGAGCACATAAACATGTCCGTTCGTTCGTCTGTTCATCTGACTATCTGCTCGCTTGTGTAGCACCTGTAGTAAACAAGCTGACCGGTGAAAGCTAAAAATACCTTTGCCGTGTTTTTTTCTCGCTACACATAAACTGCAACAGACAAACGGTACAGATTTTCACTTTTATTCTAAAAAAAAAAAAAAATCAGCTATGCCTACTCAATGTTATAGAGCATAAAAATGTAGTTTTCTTTTTTCAGTCTCTTTTCCTAGTCTAGCAGCACAAAGATGACAAAGGTACAAAGGATTCAGTCCGAACTGAATATAATTTCTTTACTTGTTATCATTGTTTTTTAAACATTACGGCCAGATTAGAATTAATTTAAATTAATTACTCCCTTAGTGTAAATTAAAAAAGATTTTAAACAAATAAGAATAATTCAGTAGTTTGTGGAAAAAAGGTGAAAAAATTAATTCGAAAAAAAGGCGTCCTTTTCGCAGAATAAGTTGTTGGTCAAGCCGGTTTTTATTAATCATTTTTCTTTTTTCTCAAACGTGAGGCTTTTTATTCCAATATCCTGGATTTTTTTATGATTTTAAATAAAAGGCTTAAATACGCATGTATGTATGTATTTACTGGCCAGCAACAAAAGAGAATGGTAATAATTGGTTAAAAGCTGCTATTTTTCACTTTACAAAATACGCATTAAAAACTGAAAGGCACGTGCACGTGACACGTAACATGTACCAGGAAAGAAATATTTAAATAATGTACGAAGTTTACAATTATCTTGCATTGAATGAGACATTTCAACTCAGCATAAGAATATTGCGAATTGCTTGCTAAAGTACGGCTTATTAGACGGGAGTGGGCGCGATCATGTTTGCATGAAGCCTTTAAACAGATTTGATTGATATTTTTACGAAAAGTTTGAAGTCATAGTTGCTGGGAAGGACAAAATCGCCCCTCGCTCAAAAGAACTTGAATTGTCGATGAGCATGTATGCCATATAGGTTCATATATAATATGAATATGTGAGTGTGATAGAATTAGTGTTGTAGTGGTAAATTGATTGAAAACCTTCAATGTATATAAAAGAAATTGTAACAAATAATGGAAATTTTAGCCACATGGCACTTTACATAAAATTCCTTAAGCAGAATAGACGGCTCCTATACCGAAATATATAAGTAAGTTAATAATGCGATATGTGTGCATGCAAAAGGTGTGTGTATGTGATATAATTTATATAGAGAGCTAGGGTGCACTGTTCTTCGTTGAGGAACTCCTAAGGTTTCTTCTAGGGAACTCGGGCTTCCATATTCTTCCATTTTTCTACTAATACTAGATATGCTTATGAATGGATCTGTACTCTTTTCAAGTCCAATCGCTACTGACCAAGCACTCCGACAACAAATTGTAAACAAGGCAAGTAAGAAAATTAAATTAAATTAAAAGTGCCACTAAATCTTTTATACTTATCATCCTTAACCTATAAACGAATAAAAAAAGGACGAATATAAATTTATACGTATTCGGACAGCGAAGATGTTCTTAGCGCTGATTGTATAGACGTGTACCCGCCGTAGGCATGTTCCCTGACCTGTTTTAGAAGTTTATAGGCGATACCGTCGTTTTCACGAAGAGAGGAATGCTTACCACAAATACTACACAATTGGGCGCACGGACATATGAACAAACTGACGGACAGATATGCTTAGATGCATTCCGAATTTGAAACTGGTCAAGAGTTTATCTACTTTATACAGATTTCGAAGCTTGCTGCTGCGTGTTAAACAGCATTGAGTGGGCGCGGTCAATTATTCCAATTTTCCAACGGGTGCTACACCATTGCCCATAGAATATACCTCAAAATTGTTGCAGATTTATCTGCAGTAGTTTATGAGTAGTGAGACAAAAAAACAATTTTTTATCCCTTTTGAAAAGCAAAGGTGATCTTACTTTACGTGGTACTGTACTGTACGAGTGTCCTTCGACCGATTTGGCCTCATTTCAATATTAACTTGCGTGCAAGAACTTCCAATGAGTCTGCAAAATTTAAAGTCGATGGCGTCATTTTTCCGGCCAGGAGAGTTTGTACAACAGACGGACAGACGGACATGCTTTAATCTGATGCTGATCAAGAAGAATAAATATATTTTGTGGGATATCTGAGGACTTTTTTGAACACAAAAATGAATACACCCCTCACCCACCCTCATGGTAATGGGTATAAATGTAACTAAATCCGTTAGAAAACTTTAAGCCACTGGAGAATGTTTGGGAATATGTTAACTAATCTATTACTTCGTCGTGTTGCAAAGAGAGATGATTAGTTTTTCATACCGCCACGACTCCGTAGTAATACTTAATATGCACACATTAAAGCTAGCAATCATTTGACTAGCAAAGGGACAAAAGACAAATTAAGCGAACGTATCGTTGCCCCAGATATGTGTGCGCACATGCAAAATTAAAGTTAATTTTATTATTCAAATTTAAAGACCTTTTTAAACAATCACATACATGCCGTACGTATGCTTAGTAGTTGAACGATATCCTGTATTAAATGTCAACATCCTTATATGTTTGTGCAGATCTGTGCTTCTATATGTACAGTAATTTTTATTTTATGATATTTTTGAAACGTCAGCAAAAGCAAAAAAGTCAAACAATTTTTGCATTTAATTTTACATAAAAGTTTCTTTGGGTTTTAATAATATACGCGCGCGTTAACACACACTCAGGGACAATAATGCCATCATCCCCCATCGCCAACGTTTAATATCCGAGCATAAGTAGAGCGTGTCTTCCTGACCGTATAACTAGTCAACTTTGGCTTATTTTTTTTGTTTTTTTCTCTTTGTCTTTTTTTCTTTACAAAAGCAATGATTCCCCGATGTAAAGCAGATTTCCTCTTATAAATATATATATATATATATATATATATAGATGTGTGTATAAAACACTTAAATGCAAGTATGTAAGCAAACACACATTTACACTTACTTGCATTCATGTATGTATTATGTGTTGCGTATTATGGTTGTTTGCTTGGTCGCTGGTTACAATTCGTGTTGTGCACTTACAAAGAATCTGCCGCAACAGCGTGTTGACATCAAAACGACCTTATTGTTCACATTTTCAATATCTTAAACATTATTTTCATTTAATTTTTATATGCAAGCTATGCTATCCTTACGCACATATACACACCCATGCACGCTCCTACGCTCATAAATGCGCTGTAATAACCATTGTGATGATGATAATGATGATCACCATAATGATGGCGATGCTGTTGATGATGTTTTTTTATTTTTGTTTTGACTTGCTGTAACCCGAGAGCAATAAGAAGAAGAAGAAGAAGAAGAAGAACAAAGCATGTTTGATGGCGTCATCAAGGTTTTTGTCCCCATTCTAGACACTTACATCTTTCTTGCATCTGTATACATTTGTGTGTGTGTGCGTTTGTGTATGTGTGTGTGTGTATGTGTATATCTATCCTATGCAATTTAGTTTTGCATTCATGCCAAGCGGTGTTGGCGATAATTGTATTGGTGCACATTTTCGTGTGCAACACTTCCTCTTCCGTTACTTTCTTCTTCCTTCTTACTTCTTACTATGTTCTATGCGCATTCTGAATATCTAAAGTACTTACAATTCATTCTATGACTTAAGTTTATACAAATTGAAATGTTTACATTAAAAATTTTATTTCCTTAGCTCGTCGTCTTCTTCTATCCGAAAGTATATTAATGCCGTCACTTCGTTTGCAACACCCAAATAAAAGAGAATTGCAAACTGCCTAAAAAATATATGTGTGTGTGTGCTTGGTAAAGAAAACATTCCAGAAGCTTTGCCCACTTTCATATTAACCCTTTCTTGACGGCAATGACTGCCGTATGTAGATGCCATCAATCGCTATGATGCGTCAAATAACCGGCGTACATAGGCGGCACCCATTGTGCGAGGGTAAAGATTTCGAGTCAATCAGAGTGACTTTGTATTAAAAACAGAAGGGACCGCTTTCCACGCTTTACCTTTTTTGAATAAAACAAAGCTTTTCCTACGCTTGCTTTTTACGCCGCCATTAAGCTTTTGTTTAAACAACAAATTCAGTTATAATGAAATTCATTCAGTTTATAATGACACCCGTTAAACACGACAACGTCTTTTGTTATTGCTCTCG